CTCTTCAATTACAAATATGTAAACATTGAACTAAAGATTGGGATACAATAAATGTACATTTTTTTTCTCGTATAGCAGTTTATCAGCGACAGGGAAGTGCTAATTATGATAGCTGTGAAATAAATCGTAAGGTAAATGTTCAAACAGTCATTTCTACGAACGCAAGACCTATGTAAAAGCGAAATTTCTGTGCATCGTACCTAAAAATCGATGCTGCTGCAAGAGGACCCAAGTCCCGCATTAATTTCCAACAAAATGGCGACGGTTGAAAGGAAGGATCCCGCAAGAATTTCCCTACGTTTACCAAGTATCGCCTGCGAGAGAGGAGGCCGGAAAATCAATGTTTCAAATCGCGGGTGCCGTAAAATCCAGTGAACCGTTTACGAGGAGCACAAGCATCATGGAGGAGGACAGGCTGAAATCTGAGCCGGGAAATTATTCACGCGGAACAGCGCCGGTAGAGGGCCTTTGGGACCCGGGCCGATAATAAATAGTTATTTAAGAAAGTGCAGCGTCGCGGCTCGTGGCACGTTTACGATGTTATCCGTGTCCCGAACCGGGTCGGAACCAAGGCCGGATTTATACGGCTCGCAGGACGTAAACTGCCCCATCAAATCGTCCTCGGATACGCAGTAGGGGCGAGCTGCGAATAAAACCGAATAAGCGTGTAACCGGAGGCCGCGTTTCCCCGTTGATTTCTCCTTCCTCCCTTCGCCCTCGACGACGGCGGCGCCGCGCCGTTTCCACGCAGGATCCTACGGATTTCCACGAAATTTCCACGGGAAATAGAAAAAAGCTGAGCCATCTGGACAGGGCGATAAGTTGCCGCGAGCCGACGGGCACGCGCGTCCATCTCCGGGCGGAGCGGAGCGGTCCGTCGGAGCGGAGGCGATTTTTGCGGGAACGCGCGGCGGAAGACCGGCGAAAATGGATGTCGGATGAAACGCGGAACTCGGACGAGGGTCCTGGCGGTGATCGAGCGAAAATATTGGAAACGATCGGCCCGGATCGCTCACGGTATCGCAATAAGTCAGCGGAACGACTCGTGGAAGGAGACGTTCGGATGGAAATGTGGGGCCGTTGAAAAACTCGGCGAAATTGCGGAGATCCGACGACGATATCTGCAGGAAATGGCCGCCGGTACTTTGCTTGTTTGAAGAATGAAATTGAAAGCCCCATTTATCCTAACGTCTCGATAATGCGCCCGTTGCCCTTCGAAACTGCGATATTCCTTCGGTCAAGTGTTCCCTGGTGCTTCTGTTTCGTGCACGCGTGTCTGCGATTTTTAAGCCGGTTTCGTGCAACGGAAACAGGAAAAACCGACGTTATTGTTAGGCGTTATTAGTGTGATCTGCATGAAAGTGAGGACGATCGAGAAAAAATCGTGATTTCGTTTCGGGGGAAAGATAATAATTTATATTCGCCGCGGAGCGTTTCGTTCGAAGTAAATGATCTATGTTTTAGTAATTGCATTTTCTGGACGATGCTGTGATTAAGTTGATATTGTAGACAAATTTTAGAAGAGACTCTAACAAAGCTTAGAGTAACGATGAAACTACTCCAAACTACTCCACGATTTCTATCAAACATTTTTGTACAAAATTCATTTTTTCCATCTACCCTTGTAAATGGATCTATATGTGAATCATGTGGATTTATAGTTTGATTTTTGTCCTCAAATCTCGTCTAACATTTTTGAGACACCCTGTATATTCTAATATGCGAAACTGTCTCCTGGAAATGGACGTATTTTGGAACAAGCCCTGCGCAACTAGGGTAGCTCCGAAATTCGACAAGTTGTTATGCTAGCTTCTGCTGTGGATTTGTAGTTTGATTTTTACCCTCAAATCTCGTCTAACATTTTTGGGACACTCTGTATATTCTAATATGCGAAACTGTCTCCTGGAAATAGACGTATTTTGGAACAAGCCCTGCGCAACTAGGGTAGCCCCGAAATTCGACAAGTTGTTATGCTAGCTTCTGCTGTGGATTTGTAGTTTGATTTTTACCCTCAAATCTCGTCTAACATTTTTGGGACACTCTGTATATTCTAATATGCGAAACTGTCTCCTGGAAATAGACGTATTTTGGAACAAGCCCTGCGCAACTAGGGTAGCCCCGAAATTCGACAAGTTGTTATGCTAGCTTCTGCTGTGGATTTGTAGTTTGATTTTTATCCTCAAATCTCGTCTAACATTTTTGGGACACTCTGTATATTCTAACGTGCGAAACTGTCTCCTGGAAATGGAGGTATTTTGGAACAAGCCCTGCGCAACTAGGGTAGCTCCGAAATTGGACAAGTTATTATGCTAGCTTCTGCCTATTTCATTTCCGGAGCGTTTTATCAATTCCGCAGCGCGGGACTCTGACACGTCCTGCCAGAATGATTCAGTAAGAAACGGACTCTTTCTAGGGTCTCGAAGAGGGCAATGGAGTTCGATAGACTGAACTTTTCGGGCAGCGAGTGGCCTCATATTTGTCCTCATCGATCATTTGCGGCCCCCGTCTACGAATTAATATGAAGCAACTCCATCTGCGTGTGACAGCTTGAGAATGGAGGAAACACCTTCGTCTGATAGCCATGGAAATCGTCCTCCTTCGCAACCTTCGGAACGATATTGCGGAACCGTCAACCCTCGTTCGATCCTCGTGGAAATATATCATTCACATCGTTCGTTCGCACGAATGGAATCGAATCCGACCGGTGAATGCAGATGATAAGTATGTCCCGTGCTGCTGCCAATCACGAAAGAACCGGCCCTTGCGAGATTTAATTAATTACTAGACGATGGTTATTAGCACTAGAACTACCAACCGAGTCAAAATGACCGGTTACCGATATTTTCTAATTAACGATTAACAATTCCTGATATTATAAAAATGTTTCTGCGAAATTTTTTTGCATAAACTTGTTTAATCAGCCATATATTGTAATAGGAATCGTACGAAGTTTAAATTAATCTAAGCTCGTCATTGTGTTTTAAATCAATATACATTAGTTGTATTTAGAGCTCGGTGGTTTTAGCGCGTTAAAATAGATATCTAAAATAATACTAATTATTGAGAATTTTGTTTATCGACAAGTTTAGAGAGATCAATTTTTAGGAGACAGTAAATATTGACGAATTTACGTATTCGTTGTTCAAGGAGTGAACTGAGTGTCAAAGAATTTATTAAAAGAAGTTTACAGAGGAACATTCAACGTAGAAGAATTTATTAAAAAATTGTTGACGAGCATCGAGCGCGAATGAAAATTTGTACGAAAAGTTTCGCTATTAACAAATCTACCCCTAATTAGAATCATTTTCATTATTCGGCAGAATACGCCGAAAAATGTCACGAAAATCAGGCTACTATTCGCTAAGTTGACGCACACGTCCGGAATCCGGCCGAAAATATTCTTCGACAACGCGAATTAAGCGATTCGATTACAATCCGCAAACCGAATTACAGCCGCGTAACTCGTTCAGCTCCTCGTGCTTTCAATGCCCTGCCCGCCAATTAATTCGCAGCGGCGAGGCGCGGCGGCGCGTCAAGCTGCAGCTACATCGTCCGCAATAATTAGTTCGGACGCGTTCGATGGCCGGGCGAATTTTAATAAATTCCGGCCGGTAAACGACCACCGGAATTAATTGTCCCTGGAATCCCGACCCATATAAAACCCTGGATCCCGCCGGCGGGAGGATCGATTCCGCGTCAGCCGGCCGGTAATTAATTCTGGCCGATACGTCGCCGTCGACGGCGTGACCGAGGACCGTCGCGGCGACGACCCCTCGCATCGTGTAAACACGTTAGCCGCGTGCTTAAATACCAAATAATATTACCGTCCACTTCGCCGGCCGTGCCTAAATATAACGAGCGAAAATAGACGACGCGCGGCATCCGCTCGCCTCGGCTCGGCTCCGCTCCGCTCCGCGCCGCGCCGCGCCGCGCTCGGCGCGCGGGGCCGTTTACGGTTAAAAGGTTAAAGTGCGGTGTGCGACGAAGAAAGAGGAAAGCCGTCGATAAACGACCGTTATCCGGAGGGGTTGCACGTGGCTGCACTTTGCGCGATAATCTCGTTTCGGCCGCGTGGCGTCCCGATGCGACGCGTCGCGACGCCGACGCCGACGCCGCTGCGTTTTGTCCCCGCCGCACGACGCCGCAACGGCGACGACGTTAAAACGCGCGTTAATTAGTTCCACGTCGGCCGAAAACATCCGGGGGGGTTGCTCCTCGAAGGGCAACTAGGCAATGTGTTTTTAGGGCGAAGCTTGATGGGATCGGCGCTGTTTGGTGGATGGGATTACGGGACATCGAATGGCTCCGAATGGCATGACAGGGTCGGGTAATTCTACCGAATGACGGCTGCTAAAATGCCGGTTTATCCAGTTTGTGGATGTTGGGGTGAATCGCTCGATGGACACCACCCTGAGGCGTTGAAGAAGTAGGTGAAGTTTGTGGGAATCCTTTTATAAGTAATTGCCAAATAAAAGATTAAATCTTTCTAAGAGAATAGTTGGTTGGTTCAGTTATATATAATTGTTTTCATTTAACTGCTCAGGAGTAAACATTCTATATTTCTTCCTATGTATATGTCCTGCTATATTTTTACTAACTAACAATCTTTTCATCTTTCAGTATCTTTAACTCTACACAACTCTTATTATTATAATATTATTATTATAATCTTATTTCAACGCCTCATTTTTCTGTTAAAATATTCGTTTTACTTAATCTATCACTTAAACCCTAGTACGTAATATACATATATACATTATTATTATATACTTTATATAATAATAATTATTATTATATACTTATACATTCTTCCATAAAATTCCATGTGTCATATTATATTTTATATATTGTATATTTTATTACATATATATAAAATATATAAAATATAATGTGACGCATGATTATGATGAAATAATTTCGATTAACGATGCTGGCAGCTGTAGTAGATCTGTCCAATTAAAATCATACGATCTACTGATAATAAGAGCGCATCATGTTCCAACGAAAATTGCAACGATTGGTAAAATATCGCACAATTAAGACTGCAGATCTTTGCGCTTCAATTTTATATTCAGAACAGTAATAAGATTTGTAATTCATTTCTACGACAGAGAATCTTCTAATTGCATTAAGAAATGTTGTATTTATCGCAGTAATTAATGTTTCTAATTATCAAAGACTAAAAAGTTGACTCGCCGAAGCGGACTCGGAAACCATGCGGATACTTCGGCGAAACATTAATTAATAATTACGGCACGTGTCTTTTCGCGTTTCTGCTGTCGAGCGGATGCATCGTCGGCTGCATTTCCATTCTGCGCAGCACCTAAAACATGCAAATTAGATTAAACACGCTCAGACGGCGGAGGCTGCATTTATGACGCGAATGGAAATGCGCTAAAGATTTGATTTCGAATGCACCGGCAGCACCGGATTGCATTTCATATTTTGCATTAATAAGAGCAATAGTGAACCAATTACGCCCATCATGGAATAAATAACGAAACGCCATTCTGTTACTGGAGGCGCAATTATTACAAGACTATTTACATAAACGCCGTATACTATTTAATTAAATTACGGATGCTGAAAGTGCACTCTGAGCACTAATGAGCTCGCGGAATTAAAAAGCGAACGGAACTCGATCAAAGGTCACGCGAGAAAATTTTAACGCATCTCGGAATGTCTCGGGAACGATTAGAGCCACAGACAAAACTGAAACAGCATAATTATGCGTTTGTTAATACCGTATTAATTGACTTTAGGAACCTCGTTCGTTAAATAGATACTTAAAACGTAGCACTCTCTTGTTGATAAATTCTACAAACTTGTAAAGGATCGGTTACTAGACTGCGGATCTTTATGCATTTGCAAATCTAACTGCATTTTTATTTTATTTCTGCAACGAGTAATCTTCTAATTAAGGAAGGAGTCTCCTCTATGACCGTAATTTCTGCAAAACGACGTATAAATGCGCGAATGTGCATAAAGAGCTGCAATCTATTCATCACCTGTTTTTGCTCAATGAAAGCTGAACACTAGAACTACGAGCCCTAAACNATTATAATATTATAATATTTAACGTATATTATTTTATAAGAACGCCAAAATTGGATTTATTTAAGCTTCGTATAATTTATATTATAATATTTTTTTTATAATATATATTTATATTATAATATAATATTACAATTATATAATAATATTATATTATTATTATAATATTATAATTATATTATATTATAATATTTCTATTATAATATTATAATATTTAACGTATATTATTTTATAAGAACGCCAAAATTGGATTTACTTAAGCATCGTATAATTTATATTATAATATTTTTTTTATAATATATATTTATATTATAATATAATATTACAATTATATAATAATATTATATTATTATTATAATATTATAATTATATTATATTATAATATTTCTATTATAATATTATAATATTTAACGTATATTATTTTATAAGAACGCCAAAATTGGATTTACTTAAGCATCGTATAATTTATATTATAATATTTTTTTTATAATATATATTTATATTATAATATAATATTACAATTATATAATAATATTATATTATTATTATAATATTATAATTATATTATATTATAATATTTCTATTATAATATTATAATATTTAACGTATATTATTTTATAAGAACGCCAAAATTGGATTTACTTAAGCATCGTATAATTTATATTATAATATTTTTTTTATAATATATATTTATATTATAATATAATATTACAATTATATAATAATATTATATTATTATTATAATATTATAATTATATTATATTATAATATTTCTATTATAATATTATAATATTTAACGTATATTATTTTATAAGAACGCCAAAATTGGATTTACTTAAGCATCGTATAATTTATATTATAATATTTTTTTTATAATATATATTTATATTATAATATAATATTACAATTATATAATAATATTATATTATTATTATAATATTATAATTATATTATATTATAATATTTCTATTATAATATTATAATATTTAACGTATATTATTTTATAAGAACGCCAAAATTGGATTTACTTAAGCATCGTATAATTTATAGTATAATGTTTATACTTCAATGAAGAGGTACATACCTACAAATTTCTCCTGGAAGTATTTTTATAATATCAGAGGAACTGTAAAATGAAAAATCGGAAACCAGTCATTTTCACCGATTCGGTAGTTCTAGTGTTGATATAAGAATTCGTTGCCATGCGTCTCGGATGAGAAAACGCGGAGTTTTCGTTCGCTGAAACAGTGACGGCGGGCAACGAGTGAGCAACAGCGACATCCACGCAGGCAGTAGCATACTTAGACAATCTGACAGCGTAGCTTTACGCGGCGAGTATTGTTCCAGAGTGTACAAGCACGGTTCGCCGAGGATGTTTAACATAATAAACATTCGTAGCTGCACTTCCCAGGCTGCATAGACAGAAGCGACTTGAACCCCGTCTTCGCGCCGCTCGTCGCAGAGGATATGCAAATGAAATCCAAGCGTTCTAAAGTGCACTCAGCTACAGTTGCAACCTGCATCAATGCAAATGGACGCTTGTTAGATGCAAGAAACGGTTTCTTCCCTGTTTACGTAAATACTCGGAATCGCCGCCGGGTGAGGTGAAGGGGAGGGGGAGGGAGAGGAGGAGTCCCCGCGTAACTTTAAATTCTATTTTCACCGTTTAATTAGGGAACACCGATCGAACTTCGCTACAACGCCCAAAAAAACAATCGAGACGAAGAAATAACCGGGCCTTATAAATCCACGTTCTCAGAATTGCAAGGAAACTTGCTCCGTTGGTGTGCATCGATTTTCGTTACGCAGTTGAATATAGCTGATGTGTTTTATTCATAGTCCCGTGTATTAGACGAATGCGGCAAAATTACGGCGTAATTCCGTGGAAAGAAAATAGCCGGTAGCGTCTGAACCGGGTGTGGGGATCTTCGTCGAAAGAGAATTTCCTTCGACGATTTCCGTAAATTAAAAACCGATCCTAGACAGAATTTGATTAAAGTTCGCGATGCATGAATGTTTTATAAAATCCGGTACGAAGGCCCTGCAGTCTGATAATGAATAACGAAGGTACTGTCGGAAATGTTGCGACGAGAGTCTCAAAGAAATAGGTCAGACCGACATTACGGACCGATGCGCCGAACGACTAATTAGAAATCGACTGAACAGTCGCCATAAATAATCGCGTATCCAACGTTTCGAAAGTTATTTCACCGTCGAAGGGGTTGGCGCGCAATCAAGTGCAGCCATTAAAAAGATTTAATAATAACCGAATGGTAAAACGTAATACAAGAGCTGCCTCTTTATTGGGCCAGACATATTGGTAGAAACGTTAAAATTAATTAACGCAACTGTTCCGACGGTGCAATCGTATCTACGAGTTCTCATTTGTTACAACAAAAAGTCTTCGTATAAAAATATCGAATGCAGTGGAAATCCGGGACGGGCAGTAATCGATTATCTTGCGATCACTATTGTAACTGATTACGAGAAATAATGGTGGTAATTATAATCATTAATCAGTTATTACATTGCTATTATAATCATTAACCATAACTACCATAATACCAAATTGTTCAGTCAATCGCAGTCGCAATAATCATTATGATGCATTTGTGGCAAAATCGAGCAGTTGCAATTTCAAACGCTAGAAAGAACGAAAGGATTTAAAAACATCCACGTATTATTTCCAATCTATTAAAATAATTAAAAGAAATAAGCAAACTTGCTATACAATTTCCATTCCTTGCAATCGCTGTAGACAATTTTTATCTCGCACAAAAATCCGCGGTCTAATCGAGTGGACAACGATTGCATTCGCTCCGACTACTTGAGTTATTCATTAATTACTTGGTAATCGTGATCATTAACCACGAACACGATTTCGCATTGGTCATAATCATTGATCAGGCCGCTTTTAGACTAACACCGGCGAAAATCCAGGATTCATATTCCGCAGCTGCATACCCTTTAATTCGCGAGAGCTGGGCAAACAGAAGACCGCGCGTGTGCATCGCGCCGCAGAATGCAGCCAGTAGTACGAGTCGACGGATGCGCAGCCGGCGCGGTCTCGGGAGTAATTATTTCATCGGAATCAGATAAAACTTGCATGAAAATCTGTTCCCGTGCCGGCTGTAGCCAGCGCGACGAAACTTTGCCGGCCAAGATAATAATTCTTTGCCGGATCGTGTACGCAGTGTTAGCGTGAGTTATTATGCGCCGCGGCGCGGCATGAACTGCGAACCAGCTGGATGCACGAAAGAGTGATTGAGCGCCCGGTTAGAATTAAGCGCGTCAGGGTAATTGCTTAAACGGCGATTGCAGCAGCATCGAGAGGCCGCGGAGCGTAAATTCATCAGCGGGCTGACGCGATAAATAAGGCTCGGCCGGGCGCGAGCGCGAAATAAATCATTTTCTCTTTCCCATCCGGCGGACGTGTCTGCCGCAGATGCAAGACGTGCTCCCGTGACGGAACGCGCATCAGAGTTTCGGATCTAATTTGCATGGGCCAGACAAGCCGGATCGTAGAGAGAGCGAGAGAGAGCAGACGCGAACGATGCAGTTTCATAGCCGTCGAAGAAACACTGATACCCGGATATCTGTTTCCTGATCGATCCACGCTCGGGCCCCCGGCTTTGCGAGAGCTAAGCTCTTGTGTCTTGACAATTTCGTTTTCCACGGCGAAGACACCCGTTGCTGCGAGAACTGGAACAGCCACTCGATGCCTCGAGAATCTTCTACTTTGATACCAAACGGTGAAAATGCCGGAGGAATTCGAGAACACTGGATACGGAGAAAATTCTGCTCCTATATCTGTACCACGTATACATTTATACCTGGCTGCTTTGGACACTTCGATGTAATACTCTAGACGTTCCATCGGTTCTGCAAACGTATCGTGCACAAAATCGAAGGATAAGGTTCGCAATAATCGTTATGAATTTGCTCCTTCTGCTTCAATTACGTTTTCCAGGCCTTTTTCGAACACTCTTAAGGGAGAGGCTCTAGTGAACCGTTGAAATGCGCATGATTTTCGAGCATCTTTTTGTAACGTGAAACATTTGTGAAACTTTTCCTCACTTTCCACATATATCTTTAGACATTTCGAGATACGTAAATTCTTGTTTTCGTTACATTTTAATATTTCATCGACGTCTTTTAAAATAATAAATCTTGAACCTCCTGTTGTTCGGAAATGCAGGCTAGCATTTCTTTCTAGGACTTCTCTTCTAATCCTCTAAGAGCCTCAAAGTTGTCAGATTCTTGCATCAAACGATTGACAACGTATAAAATATACACAAAATTCCAAGCAATAAAGCTTTATTCGGTGATACGAAGTATGAATGTTTCCAGAGTGATCGATTCGAACGAAGCAGTAGACAGAGATTCCGCTGCAACCGGAAGTGGTACCCTCCCGGCGAGAGACGGTCGGGTCGCGATTGAAAAATACCTGTAATTAAGTTGAAATACTTATAAGCTCTTAAGGTGATTATTCTCCCGCCAGTTTAACGCGATCCTTCCGGGGCGAGGATCTTAGAGATTAATGCCGGCAGGTGTCTCGGCAGGTACGCTGCTCGAGTATCCAATTACACGATCCTATGGGAAGCACTGTGTAACTTAAACAACGGGTTGGGGCACCCTGACCCCTCGTCTCCTTCTCTCTCAATTTCTCTCTCTCTCTCTCCCTTCCTCTGCTGCTATCCCTCCTGCCACCGTGCATCCCCCGTGGAAACTGGATTTAAGTTGAAATATCGCAGCGTGCGCGTCGCGAACATAAGCGATGGCGGTTCACAGCGAGGTCTCGCGAGCCAGTCAATTATGCGGCGTATTTCAAATTCAAATAGCCGGCTCCTCCATCAGTCTTGCCCGCCATAATTCACTCCACGGTCTTATTGATTCTTATTGAATAATGCGCGCGTGTGTCCGGACGCCGTTGCGTTTCCGAAGCGTCGATCTTTCGGTAATTATTTTCATTCGGCCGCCGTGGCGATTCTTTAACGGGGGGATTTTCCCAGCTCTACTTTTTCCGCGGAAAGTTGACGTTTCGATGAGATTCCAGGAGAGTCGGTTCGGCGTTGCTTCTGCTCGCGTCAAACGTTTGACGGAAATTGATGTCGGGGCGTAGTAAGATCGACGATAAGTGGATAGCAATGTATATACATCATCGTCACCGTTTACGAGAAGTAGAAACTATGAGTAATGGACAGTCGTGCCAGCCGTACTGCACATATTCAATTTCATGCATATACCGGCGTGCGGCGGGAATGGATTTACCCCGCGGACTACTGTGAAACAGCTCCCGTTGGCTGTCTCGATTTCTTTACCCTGCCGAGAGAACCTCCGTCTTCGGGATAACAAATTATTTGGATGAAACGGCTGCAGAAATGTTCCGTGGATTTATTAAACTTTCGTTAAAATATCCATCCCTGGACCGATGCGATTTTAGAACCTATTTGCATATCATTTCCGTGACAAGAAGGTGAACGTTGACTTCGAAGAACCGAGTTTACAAAAAACTGAGAAAGAAGGAAACCGATGAGTTAAGATCGGATCCATTCAGACCACCCAAAGTGTAAATGTTATTCGACTATCTAGTCTGTGACAAATAATTAATATTATCACGCGTCAGTAGTGATAATTAGTTAGTAGCGAGCGTTATTAGTGTCCACAGAAAATTAATGTCTCGAGAAGGAGCATCTTAACACGTTTCCTGCTTGCGTATAGGTAACGCGAATTTTTACTTTTCAAATTCATTTTTATTGTAACATATTGAACAAACTACGTCTCGCTGGGATCTTTAAACAAAGATAAACTAATACTTCCTGTGATAAGCTTCAGCTTTCTAGTTACGGTTTTGTCGATCAAACGACTCCGATATTCTGAAAATTGTTCGAATTGATGTTCGGCGCTCTAACGCGTTGAAACGAATGCATAAATAAAATGACGAAGAATTATTTCTGTCGCAAAGTTCCGGGATAAGAGCGTTAACAGCCGCGCAACGAATTATAACGCAATTAATAAATCGGCTCCCAAGGAGAACAAAGGCGGAGAGGGAGGGAGAGGGAGGGTGCTGTGTGCCGACCGCCGCTTTGGACATCCGCGTAGGTTGTTCGTTTGATAGTTCCCGGCGTTAACTAAATACAACGTCAGCTCCGTAATTTCAAACGGATGTGGCCTGGTTCGCGGTCTCGTTCTGGACGGTGGCCGTACCCGCGGCAGGAAAATCGAGCTCGCGGTGGCCAACTTCGCGGCGCGTTTTCAAAGCGGCCCGACCCGGCCTGACGCGGAGGAAAATCTCGGCAACGGGCTGAGGGTGCGGACAGCACCGACGAACCGGGACGGAAATAACGAGGGAGCCGACAATTGGCAAGCCGCAACACCCGTACCGATTGCAACAGCAATAACCTAGATCGGGAATTGCTCTGACGAGGTAGCGCTGTACCGGCTGCTCGGAGATCCGTGATATAGCCTATGATCTCGGTCGTCATCGATTTTCAAACTTTCTACGTATTTCTCTGTT